ATTCTTCCTTTTTCGACACATCAATCAAACATAGACAAACCTTTTGATATGATTCACAGTGATGTATGGGGGGTGGCACCAATTATTTCTTATGCAAGTTATAAATATTTTGTCATTTTCATTGACGATTATAGTCGTTTTACGTGGGTCTATTTCTTGCGCGCTAAAGATGAAGTATTGTCTGCTTTCAAATTTTTTCATGCTTATGTTCAGACCCAATTTTCCTCCAAAATTAAAATTCCTCGCTCCGACAATGGAGGGGAGTACATTTCTCAGTCTTTTCAGAACTTCTTGCAAACTAATGGTGTTATATCTCAAAGGACATGTCCCTCAACCCCCCAGCAAACTGGGATAGCCGAAAGAAAAAACCGCCACTTGCTTGATGTTGTCCGCACCCTGTTGTTGGAGTCTTGTGTGTCACCTCAGTTTTGGTGTGAAGCTCTCTCCACTGTTGTTCACCTTATAAACCACTTGCCATCTACATCATTAAATAATGATTCTCCTTTCATCCGGTTATTTGGTCACCCACCCAATTATTCCTCTTTTCGAACCTTTGGTTGTGTGTGTTATGTCCATCTTCCTTCACAAGAACGCACTAAACTCATTGCACAATCTGTTGCATGTGCTTTTCTTGGATATTCTCCTCACCAAAAAGGTTTTCTCTATTATGATCCTAACCTTTGTCAGATTCGTGTATCTAGAAATGTCATCTTTCAGGAAAATAAATATTTTTTTGTAACTTATCATGATCCTCTCCCTTCCCAAATTTCTATTTTGCCATTGTTTTCTACCTCTTCTGCAGGACAGTCTTTATCTAGAACTCTCTTAACCTACCACAGACGAAGTCATACCACTCAAAATCAGCCACCAGATCCTCCTGGGCCCCCTCAAGATTATTCCTTGGCTGCTGATCCGGTACAAGGGCTGCAACTAGTTCCCCTACGATGAAGTTCCCACACTCGTAAACCCCCAGAAAAGTATGGTTTTACCTCTCCCTTATCCTTGACAGCAACATTATCATCAGTCCCTATTCCTTCTTCTTATAAACAAGCAATGGAGCATGAGTGTTGGCAGCAAGCTATTGAGACAGAACTCCTAGCACTAGAAGAAAATCAAACATGGGATGTTATGCCATGTCCCCCATCTGTTAAACCTCTCGGCAGTAAATTTGTGTTCACAATAAAGCTTCGTTCGGATGGGTCCATAGACCGTTACAAAGCTCGTTTAGTTGTACTAGGAAATAAGCAAGAATATGGACTTGACTATGATGAGACTTTTGCCCCGGTTGCTAAGATGACTACTGTGCGAACCATACTTTCCCTTGCTGCATCACAATCTTGGCCATTACATCAAATGGATGTCAAAAATGCATTTCTCCACGGGCACCTCAAGGAGGAAGTTTACATTAAACTTCCTAATGGTATGTCCACACATTCACCTAATGCTGTTTGCAAACTAAAACGCTCTTTATATGGCTTGAAACAGGCACCTAGAGTATGGTTTAAAAAATTTCGATCCACATTACTTGGCTTTTCCTTCACACAAAGCCAATATGATCCGTCTCTTTTTCTACAGAGGACTTCTAACGGCATTTTGGTGCTTATTGTTTATGTGGATGACATTGTCGTGACCGGTTCTGATCAAGCCGCTATTTCTAAAATTAAACACTTGCTGCATTCAACTTTTCATATGAAGGAGCTTGGCCACCTCACTTACTTTTTGGGGTTAGAAGTACATCATCAACCTAAAGAGATATTTTTAAATCAGCAAAAGTATATTTAGGATCTGGTTCAGTTAGCTGGCCTCACCAATGCAACCTCTGTTGACACCCCGATGGAAGTTAAGGTGAAATATAGCAGAGATGAAGGTGAACTTCTCACAGATCCCACTTTATATCGCAAACTGGTTGGTAGTCTTATCTATGTGACCATCACTCATCCGGATATTTCTTTTGCTGTCCACACAGTGAGTAAATTCATGCAATCTCCTCGACATTTCCATCTTTCAGCAGTACACCGCATCATACGATACCTCCTTGGCACCTCCAAACGTGGTCTATTTTTTCCTGCTGATTCATCTCTCCAACTCCAAGCATATAGTGATGCTGATTGAGCTGGCTGTCAAGACACAAGGAAATCAACTACTGGCTGGTGTATGTTTTTGGGTAATGCTCTAATTTCATGGAAATGCAAGAAACAAGATTCAGTTTCCAAGTCATCCACTGAAGCAGAATATCGTGCAATGTCTACTGCATGCTCTGAAATAATTTGGTTACGTGGTCTCCTTACAGAGCTTGGATTCTCTCAAGCCCAACCAACTCCGCTGCATGCTGACAACACCAGTGCCATACAAATTGCAGCAAATCCAGTTTATCATGAACGCACGAAGCACATTGAGGTTGATTGTCATTCTATTTGAGAAGCCTATGTTCGCAAAATTATCACTCTACCTCATGTCTCAACATCTGTGCAGATTGCTGACATTTTCACTAAAACTTTGACACGTCAGCGGCACAATCTTCTTGTTGGCAAATTGATGCTTGTAGACTTACTAGCATCAATTTGAGGGGGGATGTCAATGGAATTGATGAGCAATTTTTTTTGTCATTAAAACCAGCAAATTCACAGCTGGACATTTAATATGCAATTGTATTGTACAGCTGTAACTGTTATTCTTTTCTTAATTAGGATTGTAACTATTATTCTTTCCTTAATTAAGTTGTAGGATAAATGTAAATATAGCCGTTTAGCTAATTATTGGGCTGAAAATCAGCTTGTATTAAACAGTATATATATGAGAATTCTCCAGCAAGAGAAGACAGTTTTTCTGCCTACACTTCTCTAAGTTTGACAATATATACTATTATGAGTAGTCATAATGAACTTGACTCATTAGGATTTCTTACGTACATCTCTATTCGTATATATATATTAATAAGGTCTCTACACATAGTAGAGTATCCAATTCCAGCTCTCTCTCTCTCTCTCTCTCTCTCTATACAAACTATATTATCATATCATCAATGTTATAATTATGTTCAATGTACCTTCTATGGTTTCACTTGATTTGGCTTTGGGTCTAGAGATTGACTTTGCAAAGGAACACTATCTCCTAGTGTAGACTTTTGGAAAAAAAAAAAAAAATCATTTTCAAGTCTCTTTTTCTAAATCTCCCCCTTGACCAATTCTTAAATGCATTCTGCTTTGGATTGGTTAGAAAATTCAGTGAAATCACTTTATATTGTATTACTATCAGGTAAAGGATGATGGAGGGATCTGAATGATGAGTTTTGGTCATATTCTGCCCCTAGAAAAAAATATTGGAAAAGAAAGAATGATGTTCAACAAAGTTAATATCGTAGGATATGTAGAACCATTTGGAATTGGAGCACTAGCATTTATACCTGTCTTGTATGGAAGAATAACTAAGGAAAATACATTTAAGGGACCTTGGATCAAGTTTTCCTTGTTTAGGACTTGAGTTTTGAACTCAAACAACACAACCAAATATTTTTGGATGGAAGACTGTTTATAAGATAGGTAGCAGTTTGTATAGGTTCCCCCCAAAATGGTTTGGAACATTTGATGTGAACATTGAGACTAATCCTTTGTATTGATGTAGAGAGAAAAAGAAGGAAAAAGTTAACTTTTCCTTCTATTGTTTGGATGAATAGTAAAAGAAGACAGAAAAATGATGAACTCTCTTTTCTTTCCTTAGGAAGAAAGGTGAGAGAAAAGAAAATGTAGTTATATTAAATGACTTTTAATATAATGGTTAGATGTCAGTAAATGGCTAGTTTTGTCATTTCATTTAAATTTTTTCTCTTTTCTATTTTCTCTCTATGTGAGAAGAAAATTTTCTTGTTGGTCTTATCTTTCTTTTATCTCTTTCTTCTATTTTCTCCTTTTTTCTTTCTTTTCAATTTCTACAGAAGCTATTGAGATCTTAGACTACGACTATAGTTAGGTAAAACTTATAAAGATTAAGACAATCCTCTTACGAGCTAGCTTCTAGGGTTCAGTCGGTCAAGTTCTAATATTGTATCAGTCTGTTATGGATTCGATATTGAGTTAACCTTGACTGTAAAAAAAATGGTCTCATGGATTTTCTAGTGCAACCTATTTGGTTCTGTGGCTTTACTAGTGCAGTCCACTTGGTTCCGCTGCTTTTCCAATGTAATAATAATAATAATAATAATAATAATAATAACCTACAATTTTCATGCTCCAAATGTTTAATGGGTAAAGGTCCAGCTTTGATGTGGCTGGATGTGTGGGAAACTGGGCCTTCAGGCTGAAGAACGTTGAACTTTGATGCCAACTTGAAAAGGGAGAAAAGGTTTTTGAATTTTTGTGAAAGTCCTTTGCATGATTAAGTATATATAACATAATTTACCACTCTAATTTTATGAAAAAAATGATAAAATAAATCAGAAATTATACAAATCAAATCCTATTATTCACAGAATAGGTACAGCACCTAAAGAGGAGATACTCTCTAAGACACAATTGGAATGGAGTGTATGTATTTTTGCTTTTATCCATTCATATCTTACCCCTTACTCTACCACCACTGCCGGTGCCCAAAATGTATGCGGAGATGAACTATCGTTATGATCTTACATAATTCCTACATTAACAGAATATGTAGTCTCTAGAAATTTATCTGGTTGGTTCTGTGAAAATTAAAATCAGATTTTTACTCAGTTTCCTCTTTGATGGGCTGAGGCTATTTTTGGCGATTTAAGGGTATCGATTTGTTAAGATTTTGCTGAAATACTATGCTTAACTCATTTAATGTCATTTTTAGGTTATTTGTTAATGCAAAAAACTTTAATGGTAGAGAACGTGGGTAATGTGGTGCTTCATTTCTGATGCTCAGCTTGAAATCATATGTTAAAAATTTCTAAAACCGCAGAAATGAATACATGTGTTTTAAACAATAATCACAAAAACTTTTGCTCAGATGTTTGTTGATTTATTCCTTATCCTCTTGTTCAGGAATTGTTTAATTCTATTTTGTGGAATGATGTCAACACTCTCTGGGAAACACTGGCGAAACCAACATTAGGTTCTGAGTGGAAAACCTGGAAGCATGATGTGATGAAATGGTTTTCCATATTACATTCCATTTCTAGCAGTACAGACATACAACAGGAGACCTCTGATGGTTTGTACCAAGTAAGCCTTCAGGTTGGTAGAAAAAGGCCCAAACTTGAAGTTCGTCGTGCAGATCATACTTCCCTGATGGAAAACAAGGTTTCAGATTGCCCTATTACTCTTGAGACTGACCCAGGTTTCTGTAGGAATCAGGACATATTAAGTACTCCATTAGCATCTGAGACTTCTAAACAGGAAGATGTTAAGGAGGTACCTGTTGCAACTGATTTGTCTTGTGATTTGACCAATAAATGGAATGAAATTGTAGTTGAGGCTGCCGATTCTAAGATCTTTCATATCAATGAAATGGAATCAACACCTATGAATGAAATGGTTGGTCAAAAATTTGTAGAACCTGATCCTAAGAATCGACAATGCATTGCTTATATCGAAGCCAAGGGAAGACAGTGTGTTAGGTGGGCAAATGATGGTGATGTATACTGTTGTGTGCATTTGTCAAGTCGTTTTATGGGAAGCTCAGGGAAATCTGAAAAACCTGTTTCAGTTGATACTCCAATGTGTGGAGGTACAACTGTTCTTGGTACTAAATGTAAACATCATGCCCTTCCTGGCTCGTCATTTTGTAAGAAACACCGTCCCCATGCTGAAACAGAGACCTCAAATTTAACCGAGAGTACTATGAAGAGGAAACATGAAGAAAATCATATTGGTTCAGAGGGCTTGATCAGAAAAGACTTGGCATTGATAAATGCTGCAAGTCCATTGCAAGTAGATCCAGTGTCAGCCAATGATGGTGATTCCTTCCTTGAAAGAAGTAACTCAGATGAGAAGCCCATCCTTTGTGGCAATGATCCAATTGCAATGGAGGCAATTCACTGTATAGGCTCTCCTCCATATGATAACAAGGACTCTTGTTCGGAAGCACCCAAGTGGTATTTCTTGTACTGTGAAAATCACCTTCCAAGCTGGCTTAAACGTGCAAGGAATGGGAAGAGTAGGATAATATCAAAAGAAGTATTCACAGAAATTTTAAGGGACTGCCGCTCATGGGAACAAAAGGTGCATCTGCATAAAGCATGCGAACTTTTTTACAGGCTATTCAAAAGCATTTTGTCACTAAGAAATCCAGTTTCCAAGGAAGTTCAGTTCCAATGGGCTCTGACCGAAGCCTCAAAAGATACTAGTGTTGGAGAATTCCTTACAAAGTTGGTTCATAGTGAAAAGGAGAGAATCAAATTGATTTGGGGATTCAATGATGAAATAGATATATCCTCAGCATTGGAAGGACCACCTCTTGTTCCTTCCCTAATTAAGGACAGCTTTGATAATGAAAATCCCATTAAGTGTAAGCTTTGCTGTGCAAAATTTCCTGACGACCGAACACTTGGTAACCATTGGATGGACAATCATAAAAAGGAAGCACAGTGGCTGTTCAGAGGTTATGCTTGTGCCATTTGTCTAGATTCATTTACTAACAAGAAACTATTGGAAACCCATGTTCAGGAGAGACATCATGTGCAGTTTGTTGAGCAGTGCTTGCTTCTCCAATGTATTCCTTGTGGTAGTCATTTTGGAAATATGGAGCAGTTATGGCTGCACGTTTTATCAGTTCACCCTGCTGAATTTAAGCCATCAAAAGCTCCTGAGAAGCAAACTTCCCCTACTTGCAAGGATTCTCCAGAAAAACTTGAGCAGGGAAATTCAGCTTCTTTGGAAAATAATTCTGAGAATCCAGGTGGTTCACGGAAGTTTGTTTGCAGGTTTTGTGGGCTGAAATTTTATTTACTACCTGACCTAGGTCGCCATCATCAAGCTGCTCATATGGGACGTAATCCAGTTAGCGGCCCCTCTGGGAAGAGGGGAATTCGTCATTATACTCATAGATTAAAAGCTGGCAGACTTAGCCGTCCTAGATTTAAAAAAGGTTTATCAGCAGCTTCTATTAGGATCAGGAATAGGGCTAATGCTAATTTAAAGAGACGCATTCAGGCAACAAAGTCACTTGACATGGTGGAAACAACCATTCAATCAAATCTATCCGAGACAGCAAATATTGGTAAATTGGCAGGGTATCAATGCTCAGCAGTTGCAAAAATTTTGTTTCCTGAGATTCAGAAGACTAAACCTCGGCCTAACAATCTTGATATCTTGTCAATTGTTCGTTCTGCTTGCTGCAAAGTTAGTCTTAAAGCCTCGCTTGAGAAGAACTACGGAATTCTGCCTGAAAGGCTCTATTTGAAGGCAGCAAAACTTTGCAGCGAATATAACATTCTGGTAAATTGGCACCAGGAGGGGTTCATTTGTCCTAGAGGTTGTAAGGTTTTGAAAGACCAAAGGCAGCTCTCTCCATTAGTATCTCTTTCTAATGGTTTCCTAAAGCTAAAATCTGTAAATTTATCAGATCCTGCAAGTAATGAGTCGGAGGTGGATGAGTTTCACTACATCATCGATTCACACCATCTAAAAATAGGATCCTTACAAAAGGCTATAGTCTTGTGTGATGACATAAGCTTTGGGAAGGAATCAATTCCAGTGATTTGTGTAGTAGATCAAGATATTCTAAATTCTCTTCCTAAGCATGGTCCCAATGAGCAAGATATAAATCTTTCTAGACCTTGGGAGAACTTTACCTATGTTACAAAACCAATGCTTGATCAAGCACCTAATCTTGATTCTGAGGTAGTTAAATGTAACTTAGTTTTTTCTTTGGTCAATCCTAGTTAAATAGAAGTGAACTCCTTGTATACTAAATGCATGTTATGTCACCTATTTGTTATACGATAGCTTATGTATTCTCATGTTTATTTTAGGACCTAAAATGGACTAGGTTCTAAGCTCAAGGGATCACAAATGTTACACTTTTATGTGATATATATTTCTTTTTCAAAGTGAAGACTGTATTTTTGTGGAATACACTATCCTTTTAATTGGTTTTCAATAATCTTTAACCTATTATTCTTTTATCAGAGTCTGCAACTGAGATGTGCTTGCACATTTTCTGCGTGCTGTCCTGAAACCTGTGATCATGTCTACCTTTTTGATAATGACTATGATGATGCAAAAGACACGTATGGGAAATCAATGCGTGGCAGGTTCCCTTACGATGAGAATGGTCGAATAATATTGGAGGTATTCGCATTAATTATAAGTTGCCATTATATATAAAATCTGAGCTGTTCTAAATATGTTAGGCATTGTTTGACAACAGCATATCCAGTTTATTAGAATCCCAAGTACATTATATCTTCCTGCTTACTTTTTACTCAACTTTCTATATTTCTACCTATTATGTTGGGACTTGGGAGTACAACTGTTTCCCTTCTCTATTTCTATATTAGTAATCTATAAATATTTTTGGTCTGACACTGGGAATTGCTGTACAAAACTACAGGAAGGTTACCTTGTGTACGAGTGTAACCATATGTGCAGATGTAATAAAATCTGTCCAAACAGAATATTGCAGAATGGTATAAGGGTCAAATTGGAAGTATTTAAAACAGAGACGAAGGTGCTACTATTCTTCTTTCGATAAATTCAAAATGACACTTGTGGCCTGTTACATTGACTTTTTATTATTTCATTCACAGGGATGGGCAGTAAGGGCTGGTGAGGCTATCCTTCGTGGCACATTTGTGTGTGAGTACATTGGAGAGGTTTTAGATGAGAAGGAGGCACACAACAGGCTCAAAAGGTTACATTTCTTCATCATGGTAGTTTCTTTTAGTTAGTAGATGTTTCTTCTTTTTTACTGATTTGGTCTATTTCAATACCAGATACGGCACAGAACACTGCAGTTATTTCTATGATGTTAATGCTCATGTTAATGATATGGGTAGATTGATTGAAGGACAGGCCCGATATTTCATTGATGCTACTAGATTTGGAAATATCTCTAGGTTCATCAATAACAGGTGAGCATTGATTTATGTAGTCGTGTTATTTGATTAGACAAACATAATATGGTGCAATTCATTCCTTTTTGTGCTTTTCAACATGATCAAGATTTTACTATTATTCCCTTTGAGCAATACTATTTTGATTGAAGCATAAGATTTTATCACTGAAAACATTCTGATATTTTCTTCTTCTGATGAAATGCCTGTCGGTTTGCTCTTACAATTGTTATTATCGCTGTTATTGCAGCTGCTCACCCAATCTTATCAGTTACCAAGTTCTCGTAGAAAGCATGGATTGTGAACGTGCAAATATTGGGCTTTATGCAAATCGAGATGTAAGCACCCTTCTATGTATGACGTTTCCTTGAGAGTGATCCATTATTTATATTGCTCGGGGATATGCACATACATACATTTTTATTATTCGGTATCTGATATGAACATGACATAGAGTGTTAGGAAGGGGGTGTTCCATAAAGTTCCATGAAGGCTTTATACTGTTGCCATCGTTAAAAAAATTGACGGAAATAAATAAGCAAAAATAGAAGAAAAGATAGACCACCTGCCCATTGGCAAAGATGTATAAGAAACATGCTTTCCATATCCTGGTTGATGGATGTTTATTTTTGAATTTATGGATTAGAGAATGGACATCGCTTACTTTGCAAGAATGAAAATTCCTCCTATGTTACAAATTCCTACATGATTGCAAATAGTGGACATGGCTGTTTTGGTTAGCATATAGCCATATACACTACATGGATTAGATGTCACTTTGTCTCTTGTTAACAGATTGCTTTGGGTGAAGAATTGACATATAACTATCAATATGAGCTTGTGCCTGGTGAGGGATCACCTTGCCTTTGTGGCTCTGTAAAGTGCCGGGGACGCCTGTACTAGATACAACCTCAACATCCATGTTGTTGCAATAATATTATTTCCAGAATGCCCAATGAAGTAGCAAATGAGTTACTCAACATTTCAGGATTACAGTGTGGTAATAGTGCCTGCCTAACTTTGAAGGGTCACAGTAGTCTTTATGTTATGCCCCCTAATAGATGATATAATACAAGTCAAAGCACCTCATGGAGGCAAGCAACCTGTGTGAAGCCAGGTATTAATTGCCAGCTGTCTCTGCTAAACTTGATTGAGTTCAAGTGATTTGGATTCTTTGCTGTGTACAGTTCTCTCCCTTCCTCAGCTTTTGTATCTTAGGCACCTTTTTTCATGAAATAATTAGGGACAACCTTCTGTCTCCCACACTCTGCAAAAGAAGTCCAAGGAAAAGAGACATTTCGCAAGTTAAAGCTGTCTGGATTGGCAATTGTTATTCTTTTCTCTTCCTCATTTTCTTCTTTTTGCTTTCTATCCATGTCTCAACATCTTTGATAGTGTTGCAGGAATGTAAATATGTCCAACGATTAAACTTATCTGCCCTTTCTTTTGTCTGATAAATTACTCAATAGAGTTTGCTTGCTTGTTAATTTTGTCAATTAAAATGAGTTCTCTTAAATGCCCTTTTCATTTATGGAAGTTTTTATTTTATTTTTTTGCTTTGGTTAAACTAAGTGCGTTACAGAAATTAAAATGAGTTGAAAGATACTATTCCTAGGGTAAATCCTCATGTTAACGTTTCCCATGCAATCAATGAATATGGTGCATATATGAATAAACTTATTTTGAAGAAATAATAATTTAATGACAGTTTTATGAGAAAATTTTTATAAATTAAAACAATTTTCTTAACCTATGTATATCATATATAATAAGAATATATATAAGAATTTTTTTTATTGAAAATTATATAATTAAATATTATTAATTTTTAATAAAAAAATTATTAATTGATTTCTTGTTACTTGCAATAGATGTGATGTTAGAAAAATGGCTGTTAAAATCATGTAACCAGAATGTTGAAACATGTAAAGGTGGAGTAAAAAATTGAAGTTACATGCAAAATGTAGTCATTGTTTCTGACAAAAAGGTATGAAAGATCATAGAATGTAATCATACTTTACACTGCATAATGCATAAGAAGGGTTTTTTTCTTTTATTGGGGTAATTTTAAAAAAAAAAAAATTATCGATATAGGATTTTTTCAAAACAAATTCTCTGTCTAGGGTAGTTACACTAAAGTCGTTTAGAAAAAAGACGACACAGGTGATGATGTGGCATCTTATGAGAGTGTTATCCTATTACTAGCCGAGACTAATGACGTGATTGGTTTACGTGGCATCAAAGTCGTCCAGAAAAGGGACGACATACTTGATGACGTGGCATACTATTGAGAGTGTCGTCCCATTAGTAGACGAGACTAACAGGAAGCTGACACATGTTGCATTAGAAACTGGTGTCGTCCATTTTAGGACGATTTTGGTAGCGTCCATGTCAGGTGCGACACCAATGTCGTCCGCTTCAGCCCGATTTGAATAAAAATTTGATACATATTTTTGTCCAAATTTAGAGGTCTATAAATACCAAATTTCATCACAACAATCGTGCAACTGAAAGAGAATTCATCACAACAATCGTGCAGCTAGAAGAGAAAGCAACTGTGAAGTTTTCAATCAGGTTAGGTTTATTAAGCATTATGAATATATTTTAAATTTATTAGTTATTAAAAAAAATTTATTTTAAAGTTTTTTTATTCATAAATTTAATAATATTTTTGGTGTTAATGTTGTAAATAATTTTGCTTTGTTATGTTTGAAAATAATAATAAATATAAAATATAATGTTAAAAAATAATTATTTAAATATGTGTAATTGTAATTTAATTTTTAAACAAAATTTTTTTATATTAAAAATTAATTATTTTGATGACCAATTATTTTGAATGCAAGATGAATGAAATTGTTGTTATATTATAAGATAGAACGTGGAATTACAGTTGAGATGTTTAAAAGAAAGATCCATACAAAATTGAAATTGTCTAGTAGTCATGTAATTTCTAGATTAATTTTACGAATTTTAGTTGGAACAAACGGTGGATGCCATACAACTTTGGATATATATGATGATGAAGACATAGATTGCATGATAAGTGTATGTCAACAATCACATCATAGAAATGTAGTTGAGATATATGTGAATGTTGCGGTCGGTCAAACATCTTCTTTTGTGACACATCTGTTAGAAGTAAATTTATCACTCTCACATGTTCATGTAAGCGATGACGATGATTATGCAACAAAAGATGGTAATAAGATTTTAATAAATTTAAAGTTTTAAAATTGATGTTACAAATACTATTAATAATATAAGTTTATAATGTAGGATCTACAAATGAATATGATGAATATGAAGATGAAGGAGATATTTCATTAAATAGTTTTTCTGATACTGATTTAGATGATGAATTTGATTTCATGATCAATATCGATGGTGATGCAAGAGTTACCTCAACACAACAACAACATGGAGGTATGATTTTAGATTGTTATTTAAAAAATAGATTTTCATATGTGATATGTAATATATAAATCGTTACTGAGGGTGTAAATTTCATGGATGAATTATTGTAATACAGAAACTACATTGTCTTTTTGGAATATAACCCCACATTACACTCATATTAATTGGGAACACCCTGATCAAGAATTAGATTTTCTTGAATTGAATGACTCACAATCATGGATGGAAAGAGATGCATTATATGTTGGGCAACTATTTGACACTAAAGAAGATGTAAGAATGACTATAAAACATTATGCCATGAGGAAACAACAAACTTTTTTTGTAGTGGAGTCAAAAGCAACAACATATGTTATGAAGTGTGTCAATCACAATAGTGGATGCCCTTGGAGAGTAAGAGCATCGTTGTCAAAAAATGCAGACAAGTGGAAAATTACGAAATGGGGAGGTGCTCATACTTGCGTACATGCTTCAATTTCTCAAGACCACTTAAAGTTGGATTCTAAATTTATTTGCTCATGCATTCTTGATATGTCAAATTTTAAATTGAATATTATTATTTTGAAATAGGCAATAATATATTAAATTTCATCGTATTACATATAATACTTTCCTACTAATTGAAATACTCCTTTAGACAAGTATGGTGAAACAAGAACCATCAGTGCCTATTACATTAATTCAAGAGAGAGTTAGTGGTCAATTTGGATATTCAATTTCGTATAAGAAGGCATGGAAAGCAAAACAAAAGACAATAGTTACTGTATTTGGTGATTGGGATGAATCTTATGCTGCATTGCCAAGATGGTTAGAGTGTATGCAATTATATGCTCCTAGATTTGTATACAAAATTGAAACCAATGATTATGTTTAAGGTCACGTTGTGGATAATAGATATCGAGTTTTTCATCGATTGTATTGGTCGTTCAAGTAATGTCATGAAGCTTTCAACTTTTGTAAGCCTATAATACAGGTAGATGGAACATTTTTATATGGTAAGTACTATCAAACTTTGCTAATTGCTATGACTCAAGATGGAAACAATTGTGTGCTTCCCATTGCGTTTGCCATTATGGAAGGAGAAACCTTATCTGCATGGGAATGGTTCTTAGCTATGATTCGTCTAAATGTGACAAATAAGGCAGGTCTCTGTTTGATTTTTGATCGGCATCAAAGTATAAAAGGTGCAGTCTCTAATCCACATATTGGTTGGCAACCTCCAAACGCTTATCATGTTTATTGCATTCGTCACATTGCAAGCAATTTCAACCAACGATTCAAAAATACCATTTTGAAGAAGAAACTAATTCAATTAGGTACATTTTTACATAATAAAACATGTTGTAGTTTTGTTGAATTTTGAATTTTTAACCTTTTACATATGACCTTTTTATGTTAAATACAGGATATACACCTTCTAGACAAATATTTGAAAATAAGCTTAACACGTTTCTATCACATTCACAAGAAATTCATACTTGGATAGATAATATATCAAAGGAAAAATGGACCTTGACTTATGATGATGAAGGACGTTGTTATGGGCACATGACTACTAATTTGTCCGAGTCTGTAAATAAAGTCTTGAAAGGGACAAGAAACCTCCCTATTACTACCTTGGTGATAGCTACGTATGCAAGATTGGTGGAATATTTTGTGAAGCGTGGTGAAACTGCAATGAATGAGCTTAACAATGGAGGAAGATATTATCAGAAATTAATGGAAACTATGGAAAAAAAATCAACAAGAAGCATCTTCACATCAAGTTCGACGATATGACATATAAAGAACAAGGTTTAAGGTTGAAGAGGCTTTTAATCCAGTGACACAAATGGGTGGTCATAAGTGAACAGTCATATTATCCACACATTATTGTGAATGCGGGAAGTTTAAGGCATTCCGATATCCATGCTCACATGTTATAGCTGTTTGTGCTCATATGAGTATAGACTTTTGACAATTTGTGGACCCTGTTTATACTTTACAAAATATTGTCAACGCATATTCATCTCAGTGGTAGCCTCTCGGAAACGAAAATAATATCTTACAAAATGATGATTGGAAGTTAGTGCCAGATGTAGATAGAGCACGAGGTAAAGGACGACCAAAGGCTACTTGAATTAGGAATGAAATTCATTGGGTCGAGTCACAACCACGACAAAGATGTAGGTTGTGTCAACAAGCTGGTCATAACCGAAGTCAATGTCCTCAACATGCAGAACATGGTAATCATCACGAGTAAGGATATGTGGTGGGACAATATGTTGGTTATTAATGTTTTGAAAGGTGTAATGTAGATTGTTGTTAATGTTATTACGCTCTTATGTAAAACGTTGTTAATGTTTTAAATAACACTATTTTAAGTAATATAGCAACATCGATTAAATATAGAGTTCATCAACATATCATAGCCATAACATAGTAAATATGTAATAGAAAACAACGTTCCATAGATAAATAACAATACGTCAATCTGAATCCAACGAATGGAGCAGATCCCTTGCCTCATGAGGTGTGAGTATGTACTATTGACGACGATCTCGTGCTTCAAGATAAGGGTTGTGACGCACATCATGTACCTCTGAATCTACAGTACCCAAAAATTCTACATTCAGATCGATAAATTCTGAAATTTGTCAAGTTAAACTAAAATTATATACATTAAAATTAATAGATTATAAATTCTATTAAATATTATAATTTTATTATTTATTATTACCTAATTTTTATTACAATTATTTAACTATAACAATTTCAAATATTTAATTTAACTTTTAAAAAATTTAAATAACAATACAAAATAAATTTTTTATTTATTAAGAATTTAACAACTTTTAAACATAATTTTATTATTATAATACATAGCCAAATTTAATTACTCTAATTTTAAAACAAAACATACTTTCATGCACTAAATTAATTATTATATATCATACTATACTATGAAAAATTTAATAAATATTTCAATTAATTAACGGAGAACTTTTTATATATTTTTTTTCCAAATTTTACAATTACATTAAAATTAACAACTATTTTAAATAAATACATAATTTTATCACCCTTAATTTATTTA